GTGGTATAGGAGTAGATAGGAAAAAAACTAGGGGCAGCCAAAACAAAACATGGCACAAGTCCATGAAGTCACTGACAAGTAAACTCAGCCATGTTGGTAGGTGTAGACTACCTGGTTGGGGACCGCGAGGTGATAGCAACCGATGGTTAGAGACCCTGAATGACATGGCTCAAAATTGTTTGCAATGGCGCAGGTGCATACACTCTTTGTGTTCTCCCAAATTTTGATCTCCATATTCCTCCTTGTCTCTTTTCTTTTCTCTTCCCAAATTTATTTCACTGTATTATACTATTTAAATAACATCTCCAAACACTAATCTTCCCGATTACTGCTTATACTCTTATTACCTCTACGACTACGGGATTTGAATCGACTACTGCATCTCTGTGCTAATGTGGTGTGGCAACTCGAACTGATGTACGTACGTACGAAGTTCTACGTTGTTACTGACTGACTGAATATACAACTGAATAAATTAAATGATGCAGAATTAGTTATTTATTTACACTTGAGAAATCACAAAAACAGTTAATGATAATCGCCCGGTGTGTGATGGTGAAATCGAAAATCACTAACGTCAACGAACAATATTTGATGATAATCACGATGATTGCTATTCAGCTGGAATGATATTTATAAATCCATAAACCCCTTATAGACTTGATTGGCGTGGTTTGTTGACGAATTCAATTTTAGGAAGATACAGCTTTTCGTTACTTATAAGTTTTCAATGGTGTCAGTAAGTTTTTTGAAGTAGTAATAACCACCTTCTTAGGTTACAAATAAAAAACAAGACTTTTCTGTCTCCCAATTTAAAGGAAATTATTTTTGAGAGAGATGTGCTTCATAATACGTACAATCAGTACGTTGTGACACCATATCTCACGACAGATTATCAACTAACGTGTAGAACTATGCATTTTGAACGCCAATTACATGTAAAATGTGCTTATTAATTGGTTGTAGGCGATGTCTTCAGTAAAAAGAACAGTAATGTAGCGAACAAAGTGCTTTCGTAAAATATGAAAACCATATATTAAATATATTATTTGCACATCTTCTATAAGTTGTTCTTTACATGCTTCATGGTTCTTTCAATTCTGTTTTCATTACAATTACTTTCTGTTTCCCATTCCATTCCCCTCAATTGGATCTTCTCAATCTCCTGGCGGCATGCATTTCACTTCCTGTTAATGCTACATATTACTTATAACTCTCATCTTAAGTAGTATACACCACAGTGGTAACGCAAGGTATCTTTGTAAAAACATATATTTCAGTTTAGTGTATCAGTAAAACCTTTGACCTACATTTGTTAATGTATAGCAAATAAGATGTTCAACTAAGTCCCAAAAGAGTTCTCATAGTCATTACAGGATGAATTAAATGAAAACCGACAGTTTAAAAAAGATTATATGCTAAAATGAATTAAAGTAGTTGATTTGACTTGCCTACTTTAAAAAACAAAAAAACAGCCATAAAAAACTTACTCTGTTGAGTATACGGCATGAATACGATCATAGATGGTAGATGAATAAAGACGAATTATCGGTGAAAATTGTTTTGAAAAATTATATGTTTCATCTGGAATAAGTTCTGGGATGGTTTGATTATTAATAACTTCATCTCGATTTTCAAGTATACTGTCTAATTTTTCAGTATCGATGGCCAATAGATCTTCGTCAGCGTCTGGAATATTCATAACTAAACTTGATAAAAAGAGGGCAAAAATAGTTAACTGCCAATAATAAGAAGCATTTGGAAACAAACCGATGAATAAGAAATTTATTCCTATTATTTCAAACAAACACAAATATGACACCGCACTACGAAATGTTCTTCAATAAATAAATAATGGTAGTTTATATTTACTTTTAAACACTTTCATTTTATCAATCAATGATCAGGTAAACAAAGAACTTAAAAAAGGGATATCAGTAAGGGCCTACTAACAGTAAGAAAACCAGGACATATGGAAATAAAATAGAACGCCGATAATAGATTAGATAAGAACAATGAGATATTGATAGAGTGAGTAATAGGACCCTAGCTTATCAAACCAGGAAAACTAAAAGAACAAGACTAAGATTGGATGAAATCTAGAGTCTTTAAGGTACGCCAAAGTTACACTCCTCTACGAATAAATGCTACACTTTCAGGGACCCTTAAATACAATCCATCAAAATAGACTCTGAAATTATTAGAAGAGCTGGATAAATAAAATCATTGGATGAAGTTTAAGATACACTTTTTGGATAAAATCAGGGAAATCCTAATCGACTATGGACTGGTGGTATTCTATATCAGAGTCATTTATGTCAGTAGTATACAACACTGTTTTCTCTCCCATCAATAATAGGAGTCTTCCAGAGGACAATAAGAAATGAAGACATAATTTAATTGGACTCATTAATATGTGCCTATTGAAATATTTCCAATTCAGTAGTAAAACTTATTTGATATAGTGATTCTGCTCAGATATTTAGTAGTTAGTAAAGTATAGTATTGTAGATAATATTTAAGAGTAAATGTTATATTAATACTTCACTATTTAGTGTAATTCTATTTGAAAAATATTGAAAATTTCGGCTGTGTACATTAGAACGCAATATAAGACTGAACAATAGTTTTGAATCCGATACTCTTCAAGTTTACCAATAAAACAGAATCATTTTAGCTGGAAATTGCAAACTAAATTTCACCAATGAAATGTATGATTGGTCTGACAGAGCATGGATAATCCTTCAGAAACAGCAATAATCAATGGCTACAGTATTTTTCTGATTTATTTGCTTTTGAGTGATTATGTCGTGGAAACAGAATACTTATGTAGTGGTAAGATAAGTTTAGATGAGCTTTAGGATGTCTGGTGACCACAGTCTACAAATTCCAAATCAAATCTCCAGTCATATCATGAGAGCTAGCGCAGTTATTGAGATTACTAAAGTAGCCAATTTAATTTATTAGACAGAAAACGGCTTCTATACACGTAAATCCTTAGGTATAATTTAATACAGGATAAGTTGAAAAGTTAAATTCAATCTCAATACGTTAATCAAAAGATTTAGGTTAGTTGTAGTTATTAGCAAACCTGTAGTGATCCAAGAGATCCGTATGGCTTACCTAAGTGAACCTGGATATGCTGGACATAACTAACATAGACAATGAAATATAGGAGTATCAACTGATAGTTTATTTTAGGATCTGAGCAGTCACTCATAATCGGAGCAGAGCCTAGGACGGATGTGGATTAGATCAAGGTGCCATAATACATCAGTACGACGTAGACTTAGATAACACTACCAACAGTTATTGAGTGGATTTAAAGTACACGCACTTCAAAAAAGCTTTACATAGACTAAATCATAGTTGGGATTATTCCCAGTGATCATAACTGCTATGGTATATGTACTTGAGAATCCTATGAGCTGTGTAGAACTAGATGACAAGAGAAGCTTAGATTACTGTAAATATACTTCAGCCGTAAGTTCTTGAACAATAGGGAAATTAACTGGAAAGTTACCACTCTAGATCAATGATATTTGATATTACAAACTTCACGTGACTCTACTGATAACTTTTATCCTACTACTTAGCGAGATGAGTATCTTAGGTAATCAAGCAATCATTACCTAATAGTGGTGATGACTTAAATATTTATCTAGTCAGTAATGGTTATTGTTTAATATGTACTGTCACTACTTATAATTAGACAAACCAATAGACAAAAAAAATCGTAGCTAGTAATAGTATTATTACCCGAAGGTAAAAGATCCTCAAATTTCACATTTCTATAACGTTCAGTGTCTTATCTTTATCTTCATTTAATTGACGTACTAAAATGTTGAATAAATACGAAAGATTATGTGAATTTATTGCGGTGGCTGCAAAATTTTTTATTTTATTTATTTAAACACATAAACACTGGTACAATGAGGCACTAAATAGATATGCGCCAAATAAATCGTTCGATTTGTATGAGGGATGGGATACTGTCCGGTAGCCCAAACCGAAGCGAAATCCGGAAATACAATACTACGATGATCCAACAACATCCAAACTCGTAATTCACTACAACTCATAAAAGGAATTTTCAAAAGACAATATAAGTCGAAAGCAAACAGAAAGCGAAGAAAACTACCACTCACTCCTTGTTCCATTTCAATGAATGGCGTTTTTTTTATTACTACCACCTTGAAAAGCTTAGGTGGACAAAACATATTTAAAGGATATAAAGAATCTGAGCATAGAACTGAAGTCAGGAGTTATAAATGAAGCTGAGTCGAAAATTGTTTTTCATCCATTTCATCTACACAATGATTTGGCTTGAACAATTATTAATATCTGTAATTTTTCAATGACGTCCACACGTATCTCACAGTGATATGATTGTCTAGGGATAATGCTATAGTTTTTACTTCTTAAAAAACAGATTGATTAGTACCGTAAATACTATTGCTCGGTAAACGATGGTCATGCTTTAACATATCATACGAGAGCTTACCGAAGAACAAAATATAATTCGGATTAATATAATCTATTACATGCACTTAGTTTTGTCAACGATGAAAAAATTTACTGGATAGTCTTACATAACAATGGGAAAAACTTAGTATCAGCTGGCACAAATATATACATAATATAGGAAAAGATTCTTTTCCTTTTATTTCTACTTCACAACGGACTAAAATTCACAAAACTATTAAGAGAAAAATATTTTCGACTAAATTAAATCATTTCCAACCAGCTAACACATCAAAATAGAATCTTTGTCAGTCTCTTCAACTAAATATAGTTTACAATTCAGTGAATTAATCTGAACATAATCACTGAATAGCATAAATATTTACGCAAAAAAGGTCATTATGACAGTAGAAAGGAAAATAAGTTGAATAAACTTCGTTGAAATCTAATGTAAAATTTTCAAGTATACAGCAAAAACAGCACTACCAAAAAACATGAGAATAACAATCACTTGAACTGAAAGCATAAGACATACATTAATAATAGTAATAATAATTTTATTTGGCAGTGAATATCACATAATTAAAAATATCACATTTTTCCCGTTCAAAAAAGTAACAATAGTATACAGAACAATTTTATTTTGTGTACAGAGGTATTGAATGCATGGATTTAGTTAGGAGGGGAAGAAAGTATCTACCGGAGCAAAAAACCAGATTAACCTTTGATTACTCCAACTGGACGTAGTTTGAGCACCTTGTTACTTATTCCAGCTGCTTGACCTAGGTAGAGAGGAAAATCAAATATACATAAGAAACAAATCAACACTACAAAATACAATAACAAACTAGCCAACAGTTTTTTCAATAACAGTAAACATTTTAAACGTTAATAAATAACTTGAAAATAGAAACATGAAATAAAGGTGAAATGATACACTTATATCAATATTATAGATTTTGGACATTATACAGACTTATTAAACTTACAAGTTACTAGTAGCCCTGATGAATGCGAAACAGCAGTAAAATGTCAATGACTACGTGGTTCCTACAGACTAATAAAGTAAAAACTACAATAATATGATATTATACAGCAGTATAAGCCGAGATAAGTGGGAAAAGGTTTGATCGCTACTGACTTAACAATCAAGGTACTGAACCTTTGACTGATGTATTGCATGTTCGAATCCTTGATCACTAACATTAATCCAGGCAAACGGGTATTACCCTTAACACCAACATAAAAAGAGGGACTTATTGCAAATTAGATAATTTTGGAGCTGATTAGTGAGTGGCTTGTATAATATAAGTAAAAAAATGACTAGTACAATACTACTGATTTAAAGAGTAGAAATCCACGAGTCATAGGTTGTCAGCGTTTGGGGTAAAAAAAACTCAATATATTAATTGATTACGACAAATGACTATCGTAAAGAAGTGCAGTATTTAATAGTATTTTACGCGTACGTGAATCACTCTAGACAAGTTATCAGTCCATTTTTTCGAGACATTATCCACACTTAAATTTGACCCTGTCACATTTTTTGCATGTAACCATGATAGTTCTTACATACGCGTACGTAAGAGTGTGTTTGCCACTTACTCTCTTCGTCACATGTCTCAAACTCAATTTCCCTGTCTGATTATAAATATTGAGTCACGTTGGTTTTTGTTATATTAGCACGTAATACATTTTAAAAGATGTGTAACAGCTAAGAACTATAATTCATATTCTACACATAAAGTTGCTGAGTTAAAGTAACAAAAAATAGAACTCACAGGTATCTACGACATCTGTTACATTTTTATATGATTCTGGAGCCTCTTCCATTACAAGTTTAGGTGAAGCAACTCGTATTGATATACCTTTTTCCTGTAACTGTGCTAAAACATCAGTATAGTCGAGATTACGTCTTGATTTGGCTCGAGATAATGCACGACCCTGAAAGGATAAATAAACAAAGCGAAAAACAGAAAACTGAAATCCAATCATAAATTACGTTGCTTTTTTAGGAGCTACGAAATAAGTGGTAAACTATCCTCTAGGTTTTGCCAAGAGTGAAAAATTAATATCAAGTAATTAAACGACAGAGATATTTAACGCTATGAGTAGTTGTTTCCATTAACACTATGGGGTATAATTGATAAATCTACTTTTATAAAGTTATATTTTAATTATTTATTTTCAATTAAGTAACCGTTTCAAACGATTTGCACATTTTAATTGTAAATTATGGTTAACTGTTCGAATCAGAACAACTAAAATAGTTTGGAACTATTGATGTAAACATAAATGACAATCAGTATAACAGACTATTATGTTAAAAATTTATCTGTAGGTCAAAGTACAGTTTGAATTGGTATAATGAGATTAGGCTCAACAGTAAAATTGTCACACTCCCGCTGCTTAACGTTCATGTTATGTGGGTTTAATCGCACTGATAAAAAGTTCTTATAAATACTGATGAGATACACATCCATTGGTTGATGTTAACCATATACTGTCATATTCTGATTAAATATTTAACGTAACATACTTCAGAATTTGTTATAGTTGCAATGATGCATTAATTATTTTGCTTTAGATTTTGCAACTCAGAATGACTACATACCTTTCATTTGACAACTTCTTTCGAACAATAATCCTTTGTTTAATTTTCCACCACCATTATCACTATCATACTTTTTTTTATTTTATCTGTTAATTCCCTATTCTTTTACTGACTTGAAGTGTGGCGAACTGAACTGATAACCACCTGCGACAGATCCTATGTTGCCAAGGGATGACTGAATGATTAATGGACCATTAAGCATTTACACTTTATCTTCCGATCTTCCATCCTTTATATAAACCTTTACACTCTATCTTTGTGGAACATATTCTCAATGCTTGGCTTTTCTCCACGTCATTTCTACTATATTATTTTGATCTCCTTTCCTAGCCGCATTATTGTTTTTATCTCAACGTGATAATGTGGTATGGCAACTTGGGATATCGTATATATTTGTGTGGAGAAAACAGACTAACTGAAATGTCGAATTTTTAGTCTGGAAGCATATGTACTGACCATATATGTTTGTTTAAAAAATGATTTCATTTTTTATGATTGTGTTATGGACAATGAATAACAGTTCTTAAAATGGAATGAAATAATTTTATTCTACAAATCTTGTCTCATATAAAAACCTAATCAATAGCGATAAACGTATAGTAAATTAATTTGAAGGCAAATATGTAATTTGATTAGGTTATCTTATCAACCGAAATAATTAAATAGGTCTATGAATAAAGGTGTTCATATTTGACTTAGTATTACTAAACGAAATCAGAACTAGATAAAGTATAAATCTTACTGTGATTTTAATGTTATTTCTTTGGTATACGAAAATCTAATGATAACTTAGTAATATATACAATCTCATTTAGTCCGCTTTAAACTAACACCTTTGGGTGTGAATGTTAGTGATACAACGCGATGTTTCGTACTGAAGTAGTGTTTAGGTCCTCAATTCAGTGTCAGGAAGTAGGATGTTTTAATCATTAATTCCTCACCTTCATTAACAATCGGTATATTGCACTAACACTAACTTGGACAGTACTGAACATAGATTTGATTTTATTTATGAACATTTTTAAAGTATGCACTCTGTTATTTTGTCAATCGAAAATACAGCTTTTAGGTGTCATTTTCGACTGCACACAGGTGACTTTGGTGTACAGCTTTGATTCAATACCTAATTTCTGTAAAAATGCAGAGATTTTGTCATGCACTGATCAAGTCGGAGTCTTTAAAGTTTATTTAAAATCGTACTAAAGATATAAACCACTAAGAATCAGTGAAAAACATATATTTCATTTACAAAATCTGATATTTTTTGATTGATTTTATGCATAAAGTAAATACTTTACGAGTCGTTTTGACTTGTAAGCAAAAATTATCACAACGTTAAGTATTATTATTATTACTACTTACAGCACCATGACATGTTGAACCAAAAGTTTCAGTCATTGCTTTTTCAGTACCAGTTAAAACATAACTACAAGTACCCATAGTACCACCAATAAGTACAGGCTGTCCGGTAAGCTGTGAAAAAAAGACACTGAGTCAATCAAACATCCAACTTGCGAATTGTGGGAAACAAGGACAGAGGTTAAGAATTCTAAGTATGGATTCAATTTAAGGCAAAATAAAAAGGCACTCATATGTAATGAACTAATCGATAAACTCGAAAATATAGAAATAAACGTAATGTATTAACTACTACGTACCGATATGCGTTAGAGTACAACAAACAATAAAAGTGTAAGATTTTAAGACACTATGTAACTACTCGCTCTAAAATAAACGGGACTAGATCCAAATTTTCAAAGTCAAAGCTGGATATTTGTGTACCTAAACCACTAGAAGGTAGTTTAATAATCGTGAAATTTTGTTTTGTTGAATAATTAAATAATATGATGGGAATTTTTCAGAAATTCAATAATATGAGTGCTGAATTGTTCAATACTCTAGGGTTTATTAATGTCGATCAAGTGTAGTTAATCGCCAGTGTACAAAATCATCGCATCACATGATTCTCACTCAGTAGTCACAATACTTTTTCAGTGATATACTTTTATCTAATCTAACGGCACAGTCAGACGTTACCACTGATGTATTCTTTGGCAAGAATTATGAAAGTTGGATTGATTTTCCAAACTTGTATCAACTGAGTTAGTAGCCGACATAACCATCTCTAAAATAAGTGAAGAATATAGCGTAAATTAGTTCACTCAATATTGCTCTATGGCTGTTAAAAAGTCTATGAAAACAGAAAGCTGCAATCTTTTGATCATAGGTGTTTGAAAAGTATCGCTTGTCAAATAACAGAGTGGGCAGTAGTGAGGCAATATAACTAAAGTTAGAAATCCGAACGAATGGATAACAAGGCAGTGGCTCCGGCACTAAGCTATCATTGCAAGGCTCAAAGGTCCTCAACAAAACCGCGTATTAGTAGAGCTGAACAGTCCCATAGGCAAAACAGATGCCTATTAACTTCTAGGTCTTAACTGCTATTCGTGAAATAAAATTACAATTATAGTTATCAGCCGTTAAATCACGTGATTTCAACATAAACAAATGCTAACCTGATAATCAACAGGAATTAAGGGATGATGAGGTGGAAATGCTCGAGTAGATCCCTTGCGATGAACTAGTAAAGTTTTTATTTTGCCATCTACCCAATGTTCTTCCACCTTAGCGATATTATGTGATACATCGTATATAATCTGCATATCTAAATCGTCCGGTGTAGAATGGAAAATTTTCGCAAAAGCCTATAATAAAAATAAATACATGTTATAGTAGTAGGTGAGACTGACGAAAATGACAAATTCAAAAGTGAGATAAAGCCATTTTAATAATATAACAGAATAAAGCGAATATGCGATATGATACCGTACCACTAGTATGGTGAGAACAGGTAAATGTTGTAAAGATAATCTACACCGATAACCGAATGAAACGCTACCTAATTATAAAGCTTTTTATTATGCATTCAAAAACATAAAATGTAAGGATAAAACGATTATAAATTGGAGTGAATGGTTGCTGTACTCGACTTTATATTATTATGTCGTTGACTTGAATGGAACTTCATCTACCTCGATTTGAGAGGTCGGATAGAATAATCAACTAACGCACAAAAGCATGCTTGAAAGCCTAGCAAAATACTAGATACTTTGTGCTTTATACACTATGTATTAGAATATGTATGTTGGGTTTTAAAGGTTGTTCAACTGGTTCCACTTGTATGCACAGATGAATTGCGATTTGTAAAGAGACCTCCTTAAATCGAATGGATTTTTGAATGAACTATGTACGAAATTTTAGGGTAAATAATCAGATTTTGTTGCTTATATATTAACACCAAGGAGATCATACAAGCATCATTCAGTGCTGATAAAGCATAACTAATCAAATGATCATTTTAGAACTTTGATAAAAATTCACTAATGATGAGAGTGTAGTGAAGGAGAACACATGTGAGGACAACTGAATTGTTACAGAGTTACTTGGTAAAATAGAAAAACCATATAGTAAATCGTTAATTTGCAAAATATCATTCCATCATATCAAACCGGACTGTTGCCGTTGCAAACATCAATCCATTGTCTCACATTTCATTGTTCATGAGGTTTCTTACAAATTCCACTGTGTCCTCGCTCTTCCTTTCTTGATCTTCCCCCATCTTCTGCTGCCAGACATTACATTCTTTAACTCGCGTTATATACTACTTATATCAATATAAGTAGCATGCACCACAGAAGGACTTGCTTAAGTGAGAAATGACAGCTCTTTGTTCTACTACAGTAATGTCCAAAAAGAATTTAGTTTTGGCAATAAATCATTGGGTTAACTCGATTAACTGCGTTTTCATAATGTGAGGTCCACGCACATTTCTTTTACAATATAAAATCCTTATATACAAAGACAAGGGCAGTTATTTAAATCTATATATTAACGCAAACTTACCATGACATAATCATAAAGAGAAGAGTATTTAGAAAGAAAGCAGTCAAATCAAATATGTCAAATGAATAGTTATTACAATTCTTTTAAAAAGTACAGCAATTACGATTGGCTTTAGTCTGAATTTAAATCTTGTAGTGTCTGGAACCATCCAGTGGTAACTTGATCTCTGTGAGACTTTTGAGAAAATTAAAGTGGGAAAACAGCTGCCTTCCATCTCACGGTGCACGATCATAAACTGAGCTCCCTCCTAGTACTTTTAGCCAGTTGTAAAAGGATCAAGCAATTGTTGCTATATAATCACTGAGTTGACATGAATAAAACACATCCAACCTACATAAGTTGATATTTTGAAATGCTGTAAGACGACCATCTATTTACTAACATACACATAGTTCCCTTTATCATTTTGAAAAGAGCAAGAACAAACATTCTAGCAGAATAGCATGAATTCATTTTTATTTCGTTGGTTCTCGTCAGCTGCTTACAACCTGTGATATTTAAAATCATAATTAATGGGTTAAAATTACTTACATAAAAGAGTTTGATTGGAAGTTATATTAAAGACATATTCATATAGTATAACAAGGGTGTAAATAAATTTAATAGACTGAATATTGTAAATATATACCTTATGTGATGAAAGAACATTGTGACAACAGTTCAAACGGTTAGAAACAAATAAACCTTGATAGGAATAAAATGAGTAGAGTTCAGTTGATAAAATAAAATAAGATAGTTGGAATAAAACTCAATGGTGTAATAAATGCAAGAAAGAGTTTAAAGAAAAAGAAAAAAAATTATTAAGATATAACGAAGGAATATTAATCACCAAGGCAAGGAAAGATTAATAACCATCTCCTTTTGAACACATAAATCAGGCTTTTGGCGCCTGATAGCAACTGCTTCAGCAAACTTCAGAAGACTGGAGTTTGGCTGCTTACTAATCACCTTGAATGATTGTAGGGTATCGACCTGATGTCCTGTATCAAGAAGATGTTTGGTGATTGCACTATTTAGAGTCTTTCTTTCTCTTGTTCTGAGGCTTTTTGGAACATGTTCAAAAAATCTGAGATATGCCCTCCTTTCTGTTCGGCCAATGGAGCTGCTTTGGCAGGTACACGTAAATTTATAAATACAATTGGCGGTAACATGAAAAGGACGCTTATCAACTTTTGATTGAGTTATTGAGCATGTTGTTTTATACAGAATTTGAAGCTTGGCCGCCGGATAAGTTCTGGCTAGCGCAGTATTCAGTCTCCTGTTGATTGTGTTTGCAACCTCGTCACCTTTGAAATTAAGACTTATAGTTATTGGTTTTTCATTGACAGTAATTACTTCAGTATTGTTTTCTTTACGCTTCTTATACTTATCAATAAACTTTTGTGAGTAAAAGTTGTCTCGCAGGCATTTTTCCACTTTCATCAATTCTTCTTCGAGTTTGTCAGTGGTACATATCTTTTCTGCCCTATAAAATAGTGTTTTAACTAATGCCTTTTTGTAACTGAGTGGACAAAAGCTATTGAAATTCAGGTAAATGCCATTCCAAGTACTTTTTCGATAAATCGAACGTTGGACTGTTCCGTCTCTCCTACGTTTTATAGCAACATCAAGAAAGTGGAACATGTCATTCTGTTCGTGTTCCATAGTAAATTGTATGTTAGGATGAGCGTTATTGAAGTGTTTTAGCATGTGGATTGCATGCTGTTTATTGTTACAGACAATAAACGTGTCATCAACATATCTGGAATATTTCGTCGTTTCGCTAATCGTCTGTTTAAGCACCATGTTTTCAAGATACCCCATAAAAATATCTGCCAGAATTGGACCTAGTGGGCTTCCCATTGCTACGCCGTCGATCTGACGATATATAGTGTTATTAAACTGGAATTGAACGTCTGTTGTGCACATTAATAGTAGTTTTTTGAATTCCGGGGCTGGTAAAGGTAGGAGATCATAATTCTGACAAATTATATCAATAGTTTCAAGAAGTGGTATATTGGTGAACAAGGATGTTACATCAAAAGAAACCATGAACTTATCGGCAACATTCGTACGATTTAGTCTATCAGCAAACTGGAATGAATCTTTCAACGTATATGTTGCTAATCTTCGACGAACCGGTTCTAGTTTTTCTGCTAGCCAGCGTGCAACTTTGTGATACGGTGAGTTTATCATTGATAGGATAGGTCTAAGGGGAACGTCGTGCTTGTGAACTTTTGGTAAACCATACACATGAGGCAGACGTGACCCACGTGGTTTTAGACCATTATAAGTAGAATTACCAATCATTTTCCTTTTTAGAAGTTCTCTAAGCATGCCTTTGATTCGTTTTTCTGTTGAATCAGTTAAATCTTTTTGGGATTTATCTACCTTGAATCTCAGTTGATAGTCAAGGATTTGCTTCATCTTAGTGACATAATCAGCTGTATTCATTAGGACGACACCTGAACCTTTATCCGGTCGTAAAATCATCACCTCATTATTTTGTTTGATATTTCTTAGGGCTGTCAGATGTTCTCTGGATAAAAGGTTAGACTTTGGTGTCGATGACACGAAGTATTGGTTTGCAATATCAACTAACTTTGATTTGAACCATCCTTTCTTTTCCTCATTCATTGGCTGCAAATCCTTTAACTGGTCAAACAGACTTTCGAATTGAGCTTCTGTATCGATCCTGTCAGTATTTGTTTTTAGGAAGTTTACATACACAGTATTATATATATACTAAATAGTACTTGAAGTAAGAGTAATATTAAGCAATGAGATAGTGTCAGTTTTCGTAGATTTTCGCCAAACCCAACAAGGAAATACATTATGCTCACCACAGAACCATTCCTAAAACAGTTAACAAACTCTCCATGGCTTATAAACTTAGAAAATAATTTACTGTTTGTTCTTTGTCTGATACTAATGAGTTGTTATTCCTTTGTTTCTATCTTGCATTGATAACACGTATCCAAAATGTTAACGCTGTGAAAACCCACAAAAACTATACAAATACTCGACAACAATAATTAGCATAAGGTAATCATAGTCTTAATGCTCAGAAAAACGTAAATATTCTAAATTACCTGTCTTGCAAGAAATGTCATAGAAGATCGATTAACCCAGGCATAGTTGGCAGCCGCTGCCATTGCTTTCAAATAATCTTGACCTTCTTCAGAATTAATGTGTGCACAGGCCAACTGCCGGTCATTTACTTCGATTTTATCACGTTTCATTGCTTTTTCCATGGAGACCAAAGCATCTGTTGCAACCTAAGTTAAAAGAATACACAAGGTAATCTAGGTAACAATCTCAGTAAAAGTAAAGACATAAAACATATCACTAAATCATGATATACAAATTATGGTAAAAATCACATAATTAATACCTTTTTTCACAAACCTATATATCTCACAAACTGAATACTGGATTTTTCTATTCGGAGTGAAACTGGACAACACAGGATGCACACCAACGACTGGAATTGCCTTTTCATGAGACTATGAATCATAAGTTAAATAGTTAAAGGTACCTATTGAAAAAAGCGTCTCAGAAACTGGAGGTAGATGTTGTTAGATATTCTATTTTTCAGCAGCTGTTTAAATAACATTGACAATGAAATTTCACACTGTCTACATATATTATACGGCCACATTTTTTCATTGCACTGGGTGGTTGAAGATGAAGGCAACTGTTTACAAGTCATTCCAAGTGAAAACCCGGAAACTTCCAGACGCTGACTTTAAAACTAGATTATTAAGAATATGATTATTTTAGCTCAATTAAATATTCAGCTAGTCTTTATTAAAAGCTGAAATAAGTGAAAGGCATATATGTACTTTAACTGAAATTTTAAATAAATAACAACAACTTGATGACTGTTTTTTATTCGTATAAACTTAACCTAGACTTTTAGTTGCTCTGAAGAAAAACGGCTTACTGTCAACGTTACCATCTTAATATATGGAACATGAAATATTTTTAATTTCACGTCTAGCACATGAGTTCTTAAGTACTACTTCAATATCTGAAAGGAAGTATGGAACTCTATCATCCACAACTAAAAATAGTCTAATTAATTTGTGTAAATCGTTTATCCGATCGCAATAACAAGCTTTTGACGTAAACTACGGAAGACATTGGGTCGTCAATTTACTATCAAATATTTTTGCAACATATATTCAGAAAACAATCATTATGCCGTCTCCACATAATTCCCTTAGTTTTTTTCTGTTAGTGCAAAAACCTTCATCTACCTCAGACAATGGAGGGTGGTCGCGCAATTTCGTGGATCGGTTGAAGTTAAACACTAACACCGTTGGATGCCGGCTCAGTGGTCTACGACGAAACAGCCTTCCAGTGCTCCCAGGTTTTCAGTGGTGGTCTAAAATTGATCGATTCATGATTCCAATAAACAACCTTCGTAAAGATTATTATTGGTCACCATAGAAATACAAGGAATATTGTCTACGTATAACAATACGTCTTGTAATAAAGTTTCGTTTTGAATGGCTAGCAAACTTTCTACTTATAGATTTACAAAAGTGGGGGTAAGGAAATAGGAACCAGAAGTGTCATTTTAGTTGTCAGGTAGCAAATTTATCAGAAAACATTAACAACACAGTGTGATCGAGGATACATTTTCACTGATTACTATTAATTCACTATTCAAAAATATAACAATATATTTATAGGATGTATGAACCTACTTGATGACCCATTCCTCGACTCCCACAATGAATCATTAGTACTATTTGATTTAAATGATTGATGCCCATTTTAGTTGCTGCATGTTTGTCAAAAATTTCCTCCACAACTTGTATCTCAGCGTAATGATTACCAGCTCCAAGAGTCCCAAGTTGCGGAAGTCCACGTTTTTTTGCTCGTGAAGAAACTTTAGACGGATCAGCCTGAAGCATACGACCATACTCTTCACAATGCTCCTTATCTTCTGCCCAGACATACCCTAATGTATAAAATTTTTGAAGAATGAATAGTAACATGAGAAGTTATCGGGTCGTGGTCTCGTAACACAATCACAGAGGAATCAGTTTGACTAATATAGTGTCTAAAATATTAGCATCAATAATACTTCGACGCTTAATCAAAGCTCTTGAAGAGCATATTAGAGAAAACCAGGCTGGTTTTCGACCTGGACGTGGTTGTATAGATCAGATATTCACACTACGTCAGGTTCTAGAACACAGACACACATTCAGACTTAGAATATGCTGATGACATAGTTTTATTTGGTGAAGACGCTGACAAAATGCAGAGTCTTCTGACCACTCTAAGCAACAATGCAAGCATGTTCGGGATGCGATTCTCTCCCTCGAAATGCAAAATGTTGCTTCAGGATTGGGTTACATCGACACCCGAACTAGTGATAGGGAGTGAAGTAGTTGAGTGTGTCGACCGCTTCACTTATCTTGGAAGTCTCATCAGCCCTTGTGGTTTGGTGTGTGACGAAATCTCAGCACGGATACAGAAGGCTCGACTAGCTTTTACCAACTTGCGTCATTTATGGCGTAGGCGAGATATCCGTCTATCAACAAAAGGACGTGTTTACTGGGCAGCAGTTCGTTCCGTCCTACTTTAGGGCAGTGAAACATGGCCGGTAAGAGTAGAGGATATCCGTAGGTTACTAGTATTCGATCATAGGTGTCTTCGAAACATTGCTCGTATATCATGGGACCATCGAGTAAGTAACACAGTTGTTAGGAAACGGATACTAGGTAAGGATGGCAAATCAATTGATGACGTAGTGAAACTTCATCAGTTGAGATGGCTGGGACACGTGTTACGTATGCCCAACGACCGATTGCCTCGACGAGCGATGTTCAATGGTATAGGAGTAGGTTGGAAGAAAGCTAAGGGTGGCCAGACCAAAACATGGCACAAGTCCATGAAGTCACTGACAAGTGGACTGAGCCATGTTGGTAGGTGTAGACTACCTGGTTGGGGACAACGAGATGATAGCAACCGATGGTTAGAGACCCTGAATGACATGGCTCAAAATCGTTTGCAATGGCGCAGGTGCATACACTCTTTGTGTTCTCCCAAATTCTAATTTTCTGAATTCTTCATGTCCCTTTTTTCCTCTTTCCAAATTTATTTCACTGTATTATACTCTTTAAATAACATCTCCAAACCCTAATCTTCCTGATTACTGCTTATACTCTTACTGCCTCTATCACTACGGTATTTGAATCGACAACTGCATCTCTGTACTAATGTGGTATGGCAACTTGAACTGATGTACGTACGTACGAAGTTCTACGTTGTTACTGACTGACTGACTTAACTTGAAGTTGTGAAATCATTATTTGGAAAATTATTTTCTACACTTTGTTAACTTATAAAATGAACAAAAATTGTGAAATCACGGACGGGCAACCTGTCACATAATAAAATAATGATTAAGACAAAAAAGTAGTTCATAAAAAGAGATTTGCTAGAGTGATTTCTAATCATAAACAAGATATTCATACTTATTAAATAAAGAACACTAATGTTTATAATGCAAACGTAACAGAATTTTAGATACAAAGACCATAGTACTGAAAAATCAAACAGAAATCATTACAATTCAGCACGAGATGAAAGATGGCAAATTGAATGGTAAGGTTGTAAGGCCTCATAAACTAAAGTAGTTGTGACAAACCACCGTTCCTGTATTAAGTTTTATAAGTATTAAAGATTTTTGTAGTTACTTAGTGTGAAGACGGATACCAAAAACAAGATGAGAATAGGGTGATCCCGTCTGTTATTCAATATTTATGGTCAACAGTTATTCATACCAACAGAGAAGGAAATCAAAAGAACAATGTGCAATCGTTGGAACTGAAATACTAGATGTATTTAGAAGGCATACCTTATTTTTAACAAAACAGCTTTCTAACAATTCACAACTTTAATTCCTATAGGCCACTTTGATTAAATAAACCATTCTGACGAGATGTTATCCCATATGGTTTAATTAGATACCATAATTTACAGGTGAACTGGCATGACCACTTTATGTCATACTCCTAGCATAAAAGTCACAGATATAAACATATACTAATATATCTCATGTGAAAGAAATTAAGGAAAATGATGATCAGTTAACAGATATAAAATAGTTTGATCTTTTTAAATTAAAGAGCAGTTGAACATTCAAAATCGTCTCTTTTATAAAAACTACAGACCCTCACCAAAGCAACTCCTAAAATATCACTTGTCGAATTATCTGTATTAAATAGTTATTCATTCAAAAACTAGAAACTACCAAAGACTTTTAAGTTAGAATAAAATGTAATTTACCTTGTCTCAGAGACCAGTCCATACCCATTTCTAAAGCTTCTTCCAGAGCTTGAGCATCCATCGGTATGATACCTTTGGAACCAACACCAACAGGAATATGATCAAACAAAGTCTGAGTTAGCTTTTCTTTCACTGGAAGAACATCTTTTAAATTCAGATTTGTGCGTATAAGTCGGACTCCGCAATTGATATCGAACCCAACACCACCAGGTGAGACTACTGATTTTGGATTGGTCAGGTCAAATGCAGCCATATTACCTTTAAAAATTGGAAGACTTTAAATCGATTCCACATAAATATATCTAAATGCAACATTAATGTTTAATTGAAACGGAGTATAGTACAAAAAGACAAAATGGTATTTTACCATTCAAGGACCATTTATAGTTAAAGCTAATACACAAAATGAGTTACGAAAACTGATATTAGTGACTCGTTGAATAGTCAATTGAGTCCCCAAATACCAATATCTCATTGAACATTGGGGTCGGTTTGACAAGTTAACATGATACAAATCACCTTTTATTGTACAGATCAACGTTGTCTCGAAAAGAAACATTTACAGAGCATTGTTTTAAGATATAAACTTTCGAGTGCGAAGATATATTTACATTCTACCTGAAAAACAATCATACGATGTCAACAACTATGAATACACATACGATTTAGTACGAACATACATGGTTGTGTTACCCCTTAAACTATGTATGTTTGATTCCCAACGGTTTAACACAAGTAGTGATCGAAGTGGGAGAAAGTTTATGATCAATAATTCAAACAACTGAGCCAAATATTCAGCTAGGTTTGTTAGTTGTTTTAGCTCAATATCAGAAACTGAGTCCTTAAAAGAGTGCTAGAATAAGAGCACTTCCTCAGAAAAAAAATGTATGGGATACATAATGAAAGTGATAAAAAGTCATAATAATTGCTTCTTATGAGGTTAGGGAAGTGAGCATTTAAAGTCAAATAGACCCCATTTTTTCTGAGTTCATAAGTAAATCCGAAGGGAACACAGACTTGTGCTCAATTCACAAGGTAAGCCAGTCAATTCGACTGAACTGTAATTGAACTAGATGACCACGCGACAATTGAACCTTTCTGGTTTTGTTGATTACTTTAGTGGATATTAAAATGATACTGAACTCTTAAATATAAGTAACATTTTATATAAATGTGATCGATTCTACTAATTCTATGGGTCGTACTGACTGTGTAATTCACGTCGCTATCTGCTTAGTTGTCTGTATTTCTAGCTGGTTGAATGAAATTCTATTACTTTATTTACTTGAACACAAACATTGGTATAAGAGCACGAAAATATAAATGCGTCACACAAAAATTAGGTTGTGAAGAGACAGAAAAGGGAAATTGATTATAAGAAAAAAGAACAATCAATAAAGATTAGTGTATGACAGTGAAATAATAACAATGACAGTAATGATAATAGTAGTAGTAATAATGTCATGCACTGATCACCTTTACGTTTATTCCAACCGGTTTTAGAATCGGCAAATAATGCGCGATGTGGAATCTGCTGAGACGACATTCGTAAGACATGTGCCAACCACCTGAGTCGGCGTTTCAAGGTCGTGAAATCAATTGAATTATCGTAGCTGTACCCGAACACATGATGCTGAACCTCTGCAATATGGTGTTGCGACCGAACGTCAGAAATCCTTCGTAGACAGCAATGACCGGACATTCGCTTTTCGTCTTTTCATTTTCGTAAACAACACCCCCGCCACGAGAAGACAGTGAGTAGGACTTCCCTGGCAGAGGCTGTATACGCGTAGCCGTGTGAGAGTATTTCGAGGGGGAGGGGGGGACACCCCACTCTCGGCCATGCCAGGGTATTTGGGGACCTATCTGTTAAGTGATCTGAATTAGTATACGAGCGTCGAAGTAGATCAGTTTGAATGGAATACGTGGTTTTACAAAGGCTAGCTCAGAATTCGCATTTTGGTGGTAGCGTTCAAATCTCGATTAGTCAGTGACTTAAGATCGTTTAGATTGGAGAGGGTTCCCACCAAAGATGAACTGTTGTAGAACTTGGAAAATAAAGGAATACACAGAATGGGAATAAAGGAATAGATAAGTGACCTAATGTAAAAATAAAAACGAGTATTAACAGGTAGTTAAAGCGTGAATAAATCTTCTAATTTTAGTCATTATTTAGTTTGTGTGCAGGCCGAGATACTGTCCAAGTGTCCAAAATGAAACGGGTTGTTTTCTTAGGGAGCCACTCTTCGAACCGTTGACCTAGAGATCTAATTCACATTGCAGTGGAGCAACGTTAGTATATACGGTTCCAACATTAGGTTCATGCGTTATTTGCCCCCTCAAGATCCTGTAGCCTATGTGCACCATCGGTTTAAAACCAAGGTTTTCTAGCTACCTTATTTGGATGCACCGTGCCCACCAACCCGGTTAAAGTACTGGGCATTTACTTTCCGACCTCTTAATTTGGTAGGAACACCACCGCCACGAGGTAGTGAGTAGGACCTCCCTGACTGTGGCTGTACACGCGTGGCCATATGAGAGGGGGAACAGACTTCTCGCACTAAGCCATGTCATGACATTTTGTTACTACCGCTGTTTACGTTCTCACTGCGTTTATGCATTCATGATTATTATCGAAGTGAGACTAATAATTCTAATCAATAATACAGTCCCCAACGTTATCATAATTTTGAAATATTCCCATATTGTAAATTTAGAACAACATATATAAGCGAACAATATTGTTTTCGATTAGATCCTCATCAGGCTTTACTCTAATATACAGTAATATTTATATGCATATAAGAAATTATTAAACCAATCAAGGTAGTTTATAAGTCAATGATAACAATGGAAAAGGTTACATAATAAATAAAATGTGAAAAGTACAAATTGATGGTGTGACAACAGGTGCATTAGTTTTTTGATAAGCAATAATAATAAAGGCTCAAATCAATGTTACATAATCTGAAATAGGTCAATGATTAGAAAAATATAGAAACTGAGATAAATTATAAGATGACGTAATAAGAAATGTTCAGATAATTGGACCATGAAACGTATAGTTGAGAGAAAATAAAGTGGTAGGAGAGTGTGAAGAAAAATAATAAACGGAGAGAATAAATAAATAAATAAATACATTCATTTATTACGTAAGGCTAAGGGAGAGATAAGGGAGTTACAAATTTCTTCTGGACACAAAGACTTGGCTTGTTGGCTCGGATTCCTATAGCTTCTGCTATGTGTAAGAGACGAGATCGAACACCATAAGGAAAACTAGTGGGAATCCGATAAATAACTTTGAACGACTTGTTTCTGTCCACCATATGACCGCTATCGATCAAGTGTGATAGAACCGAGCTGCGTATTGTTTTGACGTAGCCTTTTCCTAACCACGAAGGGAGGTGTTCACTAACTCGTTGATTCAGTTGCCTGGTAGTGCGCTCGATATAGCTTTCTCCACAGGAGCAGCTGAATTCGTAGATACACATAGAAGTGGCATAACCAGGTAACTTATCCTTCAATTGCGGAATCACCATCGATCGGGTCGAATACGATAGGCAGAGGTTGTCAGCATTAAACGTTCTCTTAACTGATCTAGTCAATCTATCTCGTAATACATCGCTAGGGAAATCACCATTGAATTGCAGTTTCAAGAAAAGCGGTTTCTTATTAGCCGTCAGGGTCATTATTATCCTGTTTCATACGCGCAAGTGATTCTTCAGGAAACCCAGTGGATATCCTAATTCAATCAAAATATTATGAATGTGTTGTAATTCTCTATCAATAGTGTCGACTGAGCATATCTTAAGAGCTCTATTTGCAAGGCATTTGACTAAGTTTCTCATATAATGAAGAGGCACAAAGCTTAAAAAATGTGTGTATTGGCTTGGCGAAGAACTTTTTCTATACACACCTCTGCTGATAGAAACATCTTCTTTTCTACTTAACAAAACGTCCAGAAAATTTAGTTTGTTATCTAATTCCTCCTCACATGTAAATTTAATAGCAGGATGTTTGTTATTAAATAGTTCCAGTAGTTGTTCATTTCTAAAGTTCTGATCGGCAATGATGGTGTCATCAACGTAACGACAGTAGAAATCCAGTTTATTGATAACCTCCTTGAGAGGTTATCATAATTGCAAAAGGATAGGTTGTACTTAGGGTAACTCTAAAAAAGGACGTATCACTAGTAGATCTGTAAACATTTTGCTAGACCAGATCAAATAAATGATTTTGTTGATCCTGTGGAACAATATTTTGTACCTAATTAGAAGAATACCGTTCGAAATCAACGTATACTCCTATTGTAGTTTGGATGCTGGCAGTCGAATATTGTGATTACTCACACTTAACTGTGTATCTCGAAACGACAGGTAGTTTGTGTAATGTTTTAACAGAAGCTGTGATCACTGACTAGGCATTGGGTTTTTTTGTATAATCCATGAAAATTTATGGCAAAGTTTACTGCATTTATGGTGGAAATGTGGGGTTTGTCTAAGTATATTTACTGACATGTTAGAGTATAGAACATAAATTTGTTAGCCGTTAAGCAGTTACAATTAAACGAATAGACTATTTTACAGGTTTTTGTTTGCCCAGAAGAAAATTAACAACTGCTAACAAATTTTGAACAGGTTTTATATAAAAGGTAACATTAATTGAATCCTAATCCCACCAACTAGTGTTAGCGGGACATAGACTAGATTAAAGCATGCTCAATGCATGATTGCTTTGGTGCACGCTGATTGGCTGATTCTTATCCAATCAGCACTAGTCGATAGTCGGAGAATACTCTGGAATCTTCTTATGTAAAAACTATAAATATACCGACGTTTTCCCCTATTGTGCTTCCTACTGGCTTCTGACTTGCTAATTGGAATGTAATCTCTTTCCTGTTCAACCGTGTTCTGATTTGGGGTCTTGTCGAGTGAATCGGTGTCCAAGAATACTAAGCAATAGGAATAGCTGGGTCCTAACAGTAAGAAGAGAGAGGATTATAACAACTAGTGAAACAGATTTCCAGTAACTGAAAAATAAATTTGTATCGGCTATCATGTGACTATAACAACTGCATCATTTGTATGCAAGGTAGTGATGAATCTCAAAAGATTTGAAACCATTCATTGCTTGATTATTTCTATAACGCTAAGTCGAATCTTGGCTTTAATGATAAAAAATCACAATTCACCGTGCTGAATTATTTGGCTAACATATTATGTTAGTATACAAAATATCAAAGAGTGAAGAGTATTTAGAAAGATCCTTATACAATTAGCAACAACTAAGTATTTAATTTCTCGACTCATCAGTCAAGTAGGATTACGAAAATTTATTAAGCACTCAGGAGCTTTACAAACTTGGTAGTTGCACAAGATGATTACTCGTATAAAGACGCTGGATGATCGATGAAATCGAATAGCAATTATAAAAGAGAAACAGTGGGATCAAAAATAAAACAGCAGAAATAGGCACTTTTGTTTGAAATAGATTATTGAGATGTGTAAGACCTTCAAGATACATGTAGAAATGTAAGTCCTTGAATTTATTATTAAAGATATACCATAGTTACCCACCAAAAGGGGTCGAACATCAAGTTCTTTAGTAAAATATCCCGTTCTTTATGGAAGTTAATATCAAAACTAGTACACATAATTTAATAGTTTGTAACTTACCGATGGCAAAACCATATCCAGAATGTACATCAGGTAAGCCGACTGAACGCTAAGAGAAAACAATAGAACAGGTAAAAGTCGAATTTTTCATACTTCTTTTCGTTGTTGTGTTGTAAATCACCGAAGCATATTAGTAACCTTACCTTTAAGATTGACTGATTGGAAGTTACTTTTCTGTTATATTTAGTTAAATTATTTATTCCTAAATTGCTTAAGTAATACGATGCTTTTTAGCACGCGAAAAAGAGATTAATGAAGATGAATACCCCAAAAATGATTCGTGATTGGTTTAGTGAACATTACTACAGTTGGTTGACACTGCAGCTACTGTCATTAACATGAAAGAAAGTGATATTTGTTAGAGATTTCCAGAGAAACATGAGCATTAAAACTATTTGAGAAGATCCATCATTAACAATCTATTAGGATGATTAGCTAGATCGCTAGACAGAAAGATGAAGAACAATCCAACCGAACTACAACTACCTACCAGTTGCCTAAAAATGTCCTGAATTACAAGAATCATCAGAGCAAATTATTATATTGTCAACGGATTCGAAAAGGTAAGGGAGGCTGGGGTTGAAGTGATATGACGATATACTTCCATAATTCTGAAAGACTAACCGCTAGGAATCGCTACTGACAATGAAGTAATGGTTGGTGGATAGAATTGGAAAGTCTTTCCAGATACGTCTTAGGCGGATACTCTGCCTACTAATAACCCATATACGGCAGAAAATGTAACTTGATTAATAGTATTCGAAAAACAAAGCAGTTGAATTATCCCTTACTGGAGTAAGGGAGAAGAAACAAGCGAACCAGGTGGACATAATTACTATATCCTCAAGCCATATTGTGTTCCCAAACGCACGCATAAGAGCAAATTTGCTTTAACTAGGGGTGTTCACTCAAAACTTAGATGCTGTGACGAACATATGGGTAAAAACTTATCCTTGCGCAACAAAACCTAATTAAAAGCTCGCTAAAAAATTATATAAGGTTACGAGTCCATAGTGGTATCTTGTACTTCGCATTTACCAACAAATACTAGAAATAACTGAATATTGGTAAAGATAAACACATGTTGAATTAAGCAAAGAAATATGAGTGGTAATTTGCCAAATAAACTGACCACCGAAATTGGAGGTTCATTGTGCATCCGATGCTAGGCTAAATCTAAGTTTAAACTAAAAGAGAAGTTCTGACCCAAAAACTATGATCGATACCTATGAGCCATTTTAAATTCGAAAAAAACCTCGGTAAGTGATTAAATATGCCCTGACACCGTTGGTAAATATAACCATTTCGGCAAAAATAAATGCGTCTTGAATGTGCTCGAGATTTTGTGGGAAGTGGTTGAAGAGCTGGGTGGAAACTTACAATGAATAAAAACAGAAAACAAACATGAGAGGCTTTTATATATTATTACTAAGTTCAATATCATCGAGAGCGTATACTAAATAATGCGAAGCCACATGACTTACATGAACAATTCCAGGTAACGCTGCGACGTTCCCTATTTGCTTCATTCCCGGTAGAAACCCACCATAATCTCCACTGCGTGTAAAATTTCGTAATTCGTCAAACATAAGTTTTTCAAGGAAGTTATTCACGTAGAAGACACCTTCAACCTATGCACAAGAAAACTCAGCCGTGTGAAGCAGAAGACTTGCATTCATGTTTGGGACAAAACCTTTCTTGATTTTCCAACAAGTTGGGGTGATCTTTTCCAGAAACGCCAGCTCTTGGTCATAGGTTCTCGCCATGATGTAGCGCAACCGGTTGATTAATGCACACTCTGCGTTTAAAACTTACGAGTTTGTCGTTGGCAAACACTTCTCCGATAGCTTATTGTGTTCTTCTATGCCTTATCGTCTTTCCTTACTAAAAAGAGCCATCTAGTGCAATATATTAATGAAAATGCAAGTACAATAAAAATTTTGATCCTTTATAATCTTCATCGTGTTTTTAATTATCACCAGCAGTCCTGAAAAAAAAGGATATGTAAGTGCATGTCGAAATACACCCGTACATCCGTAAGGACACAGATGGACGAAAAAATGAAAAAACACATTCATGCGATTCGTAAACATGCGACAACATGGAAACGATTTTTTGCACAATGGAGATTTTTAGGGGAAAAATGTATGCACATTAACGTAATAAAAACAATAATCTTTTTGTTTTTTTATTAAGAAATTTAATTATATATTTGCATGTCAAAATGGTTTGCGTTCATTTTTTTCACACAATCCTACAAAAAATCGAGATGAAACAAAACGTTATGTAGTGTTGTAGTGGCATTGGACCATAGCCAGACAATCTTCAAAGCTGAACACAACACTACTCGGAAAATAGATATTCAATATTTAACACGGAAAAATACCTAACGATGGAAAAGGCGGGAACAATGAATGGAATGAACTGGAGTTGATCGGATGGCATGACTCGGCCATGCAGGCGTGGTCTCCGCTGGATATTACCTTATATCTTTTATTCATATTAAATATATTGTTCTTTCTCTAGCCTAAGCTTGTTCTTCATCATGTATTGGTAGTTGTTACGATACAGTGAGTTGGTGTAGACGATGATGTGACTTCCACGTAAGATCTTATAGATTAGGCAGTTATATCATGACAAATCTACAATTTTAAGATTAGGTCTATTATTAGAGCAGTACTAATATCATAGTAAACCATAGTTCTACAGTGTCATACGTGCAGTAATCGTTCAAGTGTTCCGGAAAACTTAACCTTCTAGAACGCGCTGTTCTAGGCTGAAGTTTCTTTGTGATTGCAATTTATCGAGTTGTGTGTGTCGTAATTATGAGGCTCGTCTCATCCGAGTGTGCCGGGGTAAAATCAACATTATGAGAGTCTTCTGAATACGCCGCTTTAAGACAATTAATGCTGATACCCTCATTAGTTTTTATTAAACGATATAGTGCTTAAGTTTACTCTGAAGTAATTTGAAGTGTCCTCAGCTTACTACGTCAAGAGGTGGTCGTAATGAGTATCAACGTACAGAAACGTGTGTACTATATCATAAGGCAGGCTGAACAAAAGCGTCAGTTGACTGCGGTCATGTGGAAACAGGTTTAACCGAACACATGGCGTTTGTAAGCCTGTTTTTATAGGAGTTTAGATCCGTATTCACCGAAAAACATGAAGGAAGTTAGAATGTCATTTTGTGAACGCGTTGTCCTGCACTGCATCCGATGCCAGCTTACACCGTATTGAGAAATACCAAGAGACACGAGTGGAAAAATATTCAGCTGAGAGTGAAGCCTTAAGCTGTCAGTGACATCGTTCTACTAACCTGTTTGCTTGTGGATCATAGACGGTCGTTCTATAATGTAGTAAGACAACAAAAAAGTTCAGATTAAAACTGGCGTCCACAGTTTAGTGGTAGTTGAGGATTGCTACTCATCCTTCGATGAAGGTGAGGGCCGCTGTTTCAGAAGTAACGACCTTGATGAGTACTGTTTTCGGCCATCGTGTGAAACGGTACATATACGTTAGAAGGTAAGAGCATCGATTTGATCCTAAGAACGTTCCTATAGAACTGTGGTATACTTCGTTATTTGTACTGCTCTAATAATAGACCTAATCCCAAACTTGTAGGTTTGTCACAATGTGACTACCTACTCTGTAAGATCATATGTGAAAGTTACATCATTGTCTACACTGTTTCATCCTATTGTAAGAATCACTAATATATGATGGAGAACACATTTAGGCTGGAGATGGAACAATATACTAAAAATAAATAGACGAGACAAGTTACACATGAATGATCACACCCGCAAGGCTGAGCCATGCCGTCCTATTGAATTGAATTAATCTTTCCCGCTTTCTTGATTTTTGGGTCTTCTCCGCGTTAAATGTTGAAAATCTATTTTTCCACTTGTTTGGTGTTCAGCTTTGAAGATTATGTGGTTGGGGCCCAATGCCACTGCAGTCCTACCAAATCCATATGAACATGGTTGGAACGAGCGTCGGGAGTATCTAAAGAGCTTAAGGGACATTTGTTGTGTCTAATCACTATAGAGTGCTGGAGGCTTACACAGAAGCGTGTCCACATCCTCACGTTTTTATACACACAAATCCAGAAAAATCATTCTGCTATGGACTTGATGGCTGCTCGAGCACCTGAATGGGAAAACTTGTAGATCATATTGAAGATGTCATGTCGATAATGATTCGGCACTTTTGGACGACCCCCACCTGTATATATGTTACATAGTGAGCTGAAGTAAACTGAGAAATGTAAACCAGTTGACGAAACTCTCGAGTGGAGTACCTATATAAAGATGAGTTAAGAGAGAAGATGGAAGGTCTGTAGTCTGCAAATAGAGTGAAGTTTCGAACTTCTGCAGTGTTGAAAGTGCCGTACAGTACAACAAATGGCAAGAGTTCCCTACCGAAAGTGCCATACCTCGATTCAGTGTCTCGAGACCGTTTCGAGAACAATTCCAAAGATTGTTAGCTGTTGTTTATGCATTGTTGTAAGATTCCTCGGACAGCCGAGTCGGATGCGTCTATTGTGATATTGATCAGTACTTTGATATCCTGGTGTGCGAACATAGTTGAGTTCGCGATAACTGCCTTAAGTGAGGAGAGTGACTATTCGCATTGTCGTCCAACTTGATGATTTCGACATTCTCACGATATTGGTCTGTCAAGGATCTCATGAGAGACACGCGATTTGGCATGAACTGTCGACAAATACTTACGAGGCCGTTAAACATACATAACTACTTGTTTTTGGTCATTTCTGAGTAATCCAGAATGCCCACCACATTGCCGTGTGAAGGTTGGGTGCCTAAAGTGTCAATAATATGTCCGACATTGCTGAATGTTTATAGTAACTCCATGTTTTTGAAGTCACTGGCAAACAAGTTGCAGACGCTGAAAGTGAGGTTCTCTGTCCGGAGTTGAAATCAAACAGTCATCTACATATTAGTACAAGATGATACCTCGAAAGGGCGTTGTTGACGAATCTCTGGAAAGTTTGTGCAGTACTTATTAAACCGAAAGGATTGGGCAAACATTCGTGAGATCCGAAGGGGTAATGATTGCTGTTTTAGACATTCCGTGAGCAGCCTAGGGAATTAGGTTGTACATTTTAACTAGATCGGTTTTGAAAACAATAATGTGCCTTTTAAAGTAGCTTCCAAGTCGTGAGTGTGAGGCAAAAGGAAACGATCAGCTACGGTTTTGCATTCCGTTGCCAACAGTCACCAGTTCGACGCCGAACATTGCTGTCCTTTTTAGGGACTTTATGTGGTGGGATTCATTTTCGGCCGACCTTAGTTTCTTAGAAGCTGGTCGGTGTGTTTTCGGAAATACAGGTAGTCATGTGGTCGTGATGTGACGTGTAACATTGTTTCGTTGACCTTATGAGTGAATTAGGTGCTTAACAGTAACTGGGGACAATCTGCAACCAGTAAAGAAAGTTGCGCAACCAGATAAATTGGTATTTCTGTCTACTGATCTCCATTAGCGCGCGTCTATGAACAGGTAATGACGTTGTAGTAGGTCTGTACGAATGATTAGCATAGAAACGTCGGCAATACCGAAGATCCTGTGAGTGTGCCTGTGTAAACGTTATAAATGACAAATCGCCGTGGCAGTCGATTTTCTGTTTGTCACCCGTAAGTTGAAAACTGGTTTTTGCAGTCTATTGTTAGGACTTGCTGGAAGAACGCTTACTTCTGAGGCAATGTCGACAAGATAGCGAACTTTCGTAATCACATCAAGGATTTATAGTAGATGGATATGTTCGCTGGCTACGGTTAACGCTGGTGCGTGCAGAAGAGGAATTTTCGTGTCAACTGGTCTGGAGTTTAGGAATCTGCAAGCTTCTGTTCAATTTCTAGAGGACTTACTACATTTATCATAGTACCAACACCAACTAGGATTATCTGTCTCTCGTTATCTAAAGACAGATCATTTTCATAAAGATATCTTCTGAGGGGTTTGAAAGCGTCTACGAACAGGACGAATATTAGGATAACACGTAGAAGTTTAGCAGAAATGTGTTACACAATTTTGTGTTGTTTGAGGCTTTCCTTTTACAGCGTTGTTTTGAAGTGAGACGAGAACAGCCTGCACCTGTTGGGGAAACCTAGACACGAAGGGCTGTCTGAACAGCTACTAGTCAAAGATGTATTTACCAATGACCTTTTACATACGCAATAACATTTCTGCTGAAGAGGAGTATTGCAACTCGATGTTGTGAAGAAGCCAGTCGAAAACGTGTCGGTTGGTTACGTCTCCACGTCTAAAAATAGCTCTACCTAAAGCCTATTAAGTTTCTAAAACATTACTAGTAAATATGCTAGGTGAAACTTATCTGTTGAAACCGCGCGGTAGTGTTTTTCACTACTTAGGGAAGTAGTGCACGTGGGTCTGTAATGCCATGCTCGAGAAAATCGATGTCTGCATTGTAGAAGCAGCATTTTATATTTTCGGTTGAGAATAGCGTTCTCTGAACTGAGGAAGGCGAGGAGGTCTTAATTCTTATTAGTCTATTCCACCGTGGTGAATATAAAATATACCAAAAAACTTGAAAAAAATATCTGACAACATTAGAACAATGTCATAATATGTAAAAATAGAAATTAAGGAATGTCAAGTAATGTCCCGAAAAGGAACATAAATTTACATCACACGTTGTGTCTATAGTATGTCCGGTGCCCTGATTCACTTTGCTGTTCTGTGAGATGCAGTGTAGGAAATCTGTCAGATAAGGATTATTCATTTATATTAGGAAATTGGATTCCTGAAAAATCAATGCACTTAAGCTG